ATTGTAGATCAAAAGCCTGATTTGGCAATGATTTGGTGGACATATCAAAACCTTGAGGGCCTTTCGAGACAACTTTTGGTCCTTTATTCCCAAAGCCTCAATCATGCTGCCTGATAGTTTTGTTTGTATGCAAGCATCATGAAAAAACGGACTTAATTACTAGGTTATTGAGATAGAATGCATCCCAATTTAGCATAGATTGGGCCCATATTTTATTCGCTGTGATCTGGTGTCAATTGCATTCACCTTAGATGCTGTTTTCAGACTTAGAAGATGTCTTATTAAAAATATTAAACTTAGGTGAGATTGAAGCTACAGTCCAGTCGGGATAAGATGGCTTTTTGGACTAAACGAACTTTAGTCGCATCCTAGGTCTATTAATGTCATTTAGGAAAACTTCAGTCACTTTAAGCGGCCTAGGCTAAGGGATGGAGGTTGACTATAACTCGAAAGGTTTGCAGGAGGATGCTCAGAAGGCTGCTTCGCAGATACAAGACAGTCGTGGATCTGGCAAATCAATGTTTTCCTTCAGACACTTCCATGTGGGTGAAGTTGGTGCAAGAAGAGAATATGGATGTGGTTTTCCGTGAGACTAATTTAGGAATCCCTTTCGCTCGTGGTCGTAGCTACTAAAAGTAGATTTGCAAATCCGCAAGCATATCACGAGGAATAAGAGGCTTCATGGACGAGTATTCTTACAAGCGTCGTTCCTATTTCAATACGTCGCGATTGTCTTTGAATAGTCTGGAATCCGTGGGCATTCTGGTTGCCCAAGCTAGCTTAAAGCCTTCACAAGGCCACCGTTTTTCTCCCTTTCCCGCTCGGCGTCCATTCTGACGTCCATCGCGAAATCTGATGCACAATTTGAACGCCAAAACCGGCGCATAGAGAACTAACTAACACGAACAATTAAGTAATATGAGCTGAGTTCACCCTATTTCGCTTAAGCTGATGAAGTATTGGTAGTTTAATTTTCCCACAAGTATATCAGTAAGGCTGACGTTTCCTGTGTATTTTACATGGTTCTGCTTTCCCATAAAGCGTTCTCATCCAGAGTGGACTGCGGTTTCGACCTCGCAAGGGTCTTAGCAGCAGCCACCGCGGGATTCGAACTATGACAATGCAGCGTGTAATCTCCACAGTTAACCACTCGGCCACATTGCCACGAGTGTCCTTGTGTCAGAGGGAAGACGTGAATTTCGAGGGAGGCCAGGCATTTTCACATATAACATCCTGTGGTGGGAGTGCCGATGTAGTAAAGTTATATTTGCTATAACAATCGACTGCATTATTTATTTTTTGTTTCAAAGTAGAGTTTCAGTCACATCTAGACTACACGCTGCACTGGCATAGTTCGAGTTCTGCTCGGGTGCGGATGATACCAGTTCAGGCGAGGTCAAAGCTGCAGTCCACTCCAGCCGCGATGTGAATACCTTTTGTGAAAGCAAGGTTATGTGAAATGCAATGGGAGCGCCAGCTCTACTCATATCAATGTGGGAAAATTCAACTACCATTCATTCAACACCTTAGATGAAATAGGATTAACACATTTTATAGATCTGATTTGCTGGTAGTCTCGAAATTCTACTTATAAACGAAAATTGAACAAGTTATTTGGTATTATAATGACAAAATTGTGACTCGTGGATGTTAAAAAATAGTCCCAATGAGGCAACTACACCCTGACTTGGGCGAAATAGGGTGTATATGCGCGGCAGGCACAAGATGGGCATGAAAGCCAACAACAGGGTAACTGAGTGATCGACTGGGAAGCGGGCGACTGGTTGGCCGCAGAGTGAGCCAGTTTCTTAACCAATTTACACTCCACCTGCCACACCGTCGACAGCAGGTGCACAGAATTGTTTGCCTCGGCTCTTATACAAATAATTGTTGGATATTTTTATATATAGTGTGAATGAATGGTGTATGTGTATCCATGAGTTGTGTAGAATTACCATTCTGAGAAGGCAATACGGCATGGATACCGAATTGTGTTGTCAAAGTAGAGACTTAGACACACACATGCACTAAACAAGGTGTAGGCAAGATGCAAGTCCAGAATTTGAGGTTGAGCAGATAGTAAATAATGCTAGGTCTCTTGAAAATCTGGACCCCGAATGATGGTCATAGAGCCAAAAGGAGAGCATATGATAGTCGTTGTGGTACTGGTAATGATGAGGAGGGGAGGAGTCGGTTAAGCGCTGGGCTATAGATTGTTGTAAGATGGAATGGAACAGGTAGTTGTAGGCCTGATAATCGGGTATGCACAACCGGGACCTCGGTGACACGAGAAGGCAACACCTTAGCAGCGTCAATTGAAGCATTAGTAGCACAAGCAGTAGTCTGAGTGTGATTGCCTTTCCGACGAAATATAGGAAAATATAGATACACAAAAGCTGAATGGACTGAATTAGCGGGAAAGGGAGGGTCGGGTCGGGGTCGGACAAGAGGACTGATGGAAAAGAGGCCGTAAAGAGAGAACGCGAGAAAAAAATAGAGGCAGACAAAATCGGAAGGATACCTGAACCCGTGGCATGGAGACGAAATAGTACGGGCAGCGAATAAGGATTAGAGGCTACACGACCAATAAAAAAATAGCCAAGACATCGCATTGGAATGCCTAGCGGGGTCGGAGAAGGAGTTGTGAATTCGAAGGACATGTGAGAGCACGAGAAGGCAATGCGTATATGGACTCCATATGTGCTTATGTGCCCGTCTCCTGCAGGGCAGTCAAATAAATCAGGACGTTTGTCCACGTTGCTAACAGTCTAGGAGAAATAATGTCGGCCTTAATGCTTATGAAAACGATTCACACATAACACAACAGAGAATGACTAAATTTAATGCTGTAAAAAGCGACGTCTGCTGAGCACAAGACTGGCTGAATGAAATAGTCATGACAACTAGATCATTGGATTGTTGTGGAAACTCTCATTTCGTACGAATATATTTGCTGGTTGATCTCCCCGGAAGATGACGACCAAGTCCCCTTGTTCGGCGACATTTGGGCTTTAAAACGACCAAATACAACGAGCATCCATGTTTGCTTTAGATAAAATCAGGCTGAGCTCTCGTCATGTTATGGAAATTAATGGTGCTGAAATTTATTCGTGCAAACGTCGCAAGTTAGCACTAGGTCTTCTTGACCTCGGACCGCGTTTCGCCCGATTTTACCCGGTTCTACCCAACATACTGTATCGGCTCATAACTAAAAAGGAAAATATAAAGATAATGATGCTGATTATTCCCTTTTCCTCTAATTAGGCAACTTATACGTTTGTCTGTGTGCCTTCGTGACATGGCGTTAACTTAAAGTTTTCGCAAGAATAAGTTCCAGCCTTTACGATGTTTGTCCAATTGCATGACGAACGAAAATTAAATCCACTCTCATCTGAAACGAGGATGAATGTCTCGTGGACTACGCCAGTATGAAATTCGTATTAAGGCCAAACAGTTGCAGAACAACGGGAATCAGCCGAAGTCTTCCGGTGAGATCAACTAACAAATCTCTTCCTCATGCACTTTCATACGAAATGAAAGTCTTCATAACAATGTCACCTCAAAAAGTTCATCAAAAACAACCATTCTTCGTATCTGCATCATTAGACATTGAAGACAATGCCCCTCTGTGAATTGATGGACAACTTTTCATTCTACACGTGTCGAGGTTTTTGTTTTACTATCCCAGACAGGCATAGAAGCGCATTAATGATAGATCTAATTCAGATGGCATGTTCCCTGCATAAGGCATCGGCCTAATGCTTACTGGGAAAACTGAAGAAAGGATAAGATCGTTACAACAGAGCATCAGATTGGATGAAAAACTAAAAAAGATATGCTGCTGAATTTCGCATTTCATCATACACATGATTTCGGCCAACCTTGGGATCGTGAACTTTAAACGGCACTCTAATGAGAATAGGATATTTCGCATTTCACTCCGAAGCTAATTTAAGTGAAGCTAATCAGTTCAGCTCTTCTGGTGACAAACCACCCAACAAATTGTGCATAGTCTGGTTGAATTGTTGAAATAATGATAAATGAGGCATAAGAGAAAAGATTCGCTTAACAAGACTTATGCACAATTTTCATTTTAGTCCATTTAGATGTCTGTGGGCGTCCATGTCTGCCCTTAGATATGAGCAAAGTAATCAAAACAAATAGTTAAATAGCCCATTCCTCCCTCCCAAGATGGTTGCATATGTCCACAGTACATGTAAATCGGAGGAATTCCCACTTGGCTGAATGCAGTTCACGTGTGCGCCCACATGGGGGCCCGGGCTATTCATATGGCTTCATCGAAATATATGCCAACATGAATGTACTTATCTGTGCCTTGAAAAGCCCTTTATTCCTCCGGAGATGCGACACGAAATCAGCAGTATGCATGTCTTTGTCAGTATATGTAAGGTTGTGTGAATGCAGCTTTCAGGCATTTTTAAGATTGAAGCTATTCTAGTGAAATTACGCGGTCATGTGCCGTCTCGGCGTATGTACACTCTGCTTACTTTCGTCGAATTCATCATGCAGTCATATGCTATTATGTGAAATGTGTGAGCTGAATCATGGCCGTGTGCTTTTGATTAGCCGGATATTTTCGTGACTGATCTACACATGGGTTATCTGGATTTGGAAGTTAACGGTCGGACACGATTGTCGCCCAAATGTAAAGGTGTGTGGAGGGGTGCTGTGTGGAAATAGCGAATATCCCCAGTGCAATGCACAGTTGTGGGGAAGTGAACGCAAATGAAGCTGGACTATAGCTTATCGGACCAAGTGCCTGAATGGATAGTGCAGGTGGTGGAATCTTCGGAAAGGAGAATTAGGGGCTCATCATTTGTTTACACTCGCCAAGGCCATTCCCGGCATGATGACATCTCTTGCACTAAATAGAACATCTTGTTCGAGCATATAAAGTGTCAGAGCAAGTTGAATGAAGCCTGTGTCGAAAGCAGCTTAGTGGGAGTGGGAACTATTGGCCTCGACAGAATGGGACCCCTGGGGTTGACGATAGGCTATGCTGCACAAAGGGAAAACGGTATGACCACCATCAGTCTACTTTAGGTTGAATGACTCCAAATGTGTTGAGGGGGCCAAGTGAAGGGGAATATGATGCAACAACTTGATGAGCATCCCACACTCACAATCCATGAACGTACAGGCCCCTCTTGGCGCCCCCTTGCATCGCAAATGAGGCGTTATCAGGCGCCACAATGCAAACTTCAGGGTGGGCCAGGGAAAATAACACCAGATTGCTTCTTAAAGGTTTTCCAACGAGAAATTCACGCATCACTTGAATGATCGGAACAAATAGTGCATCCACTGTTTGGTAGCCTTCAAGGTTAAATCGTCTGTTCACTCATAAATTGGCCTATAAAAATGTGGTTTATATGGATTTTCAGTCTAAGCTACCCTATTAACGCCAAAATGGCATGTAATTTCATGGAAGAATAAGCATGCAAGGCGAAAATCCACAGATAAGTTCAATGGACTAAGAAAATATGAAATCAAACAAAACGAACTAAGCTTTGTATCTTTAATCGTTCCCTTCTGAGTGAATTATATGTCTATGTGCTGATGGTGTCGAGTGAATAACCCACCAGCATTGGGGACTGGGTCAAACTAAGAGTGAAACGAGGAGAAATGAAAAGCATTGCTATTGAACTAAAAGTGATTAAGAGATTGCATGAAATTTATCAAATATGTTAAAATACGGGCGTGACAATTTGATGTTTTATTAAATATGTGACTTTGAAATCGAAGGTATTAAGACCAAGGTGGTGTTGCCTTTTGTATGGCTGGAGTTCCCTTACGTTGTATATAAGTTGTTTGACTTTGTTTTCCCAACTTGGCCATATTAGCAGGAATACCTAGAGGAATGCATCTTGTCCGGAGTCCATTTTATGTCTGCTAAACAATCGTGTTATCTCTCCTTCCGAAATTGGCCAATCACCAATACTATATCCTCGTATCAGCCCTTCATTAGCACAATTTTTACTTGCTTATTTAAATGTGGTACGATGTGCCCTTTTGAGCGGATTTCATGAGAACTCTCTACACCCCAAAGTGACTTTCTCACCTCCCTTCACCCTTGTTTTGGGAATGTGGATCAGAGTCTGTCATATTGTTACGCAGTCCTCCTTACCTAGGCTTTATCAGAATCTCCCTCTTGCCCAGTAGGATCTGTATGATATCTCTCTGGTCCAAGTATTTCACTCGACCCCTGCCACCTCATCTGTGCTCCACGAGGCGTTAGTTCCCACACCATGCGTCTGCTAGACTAACTTGAGGCTAAAGCCCCTGAGTAATTATAATGGTCAAGACTTTGTTTAATGGACCACGTCAACTAGCTCTAGTCTTCGCTGCATCCATCGTGCTTATAGCCATAGTGACAAGTCTGTAACTTCCTAT